ACCCCCAGATGGCAGATGCTGGGAACAGTTTAATATTAGCATTTATGTTTCATGTTTCCATGGAGCACTTGTGCCTCCATGAACCTGTGAGAGAGAAGAGTTGAGCAGAAAATCAATGGCACAGTACAGGTTCCTTAGGGTCCCTGCTGCACTTGCTAGGCCACCCGCTGCTGTCCCTACATGCATTCCAAATGGCCAAAACCAAAGGTAATGACAAAGTATGTGGCATTAATAGTTCAGGACCTGCTAAGAGGGGAGAAAAGCCCACCACACCCAGAGCTTGCAGATCTGCTTTCCTGTCACGGCTGGAATGTAGGTCTCCAGGAGGAAAATGTGGAAGCCAGGTGGCAGATGACAGAAACTTGATTATTACAGGATATGAAACTGGGGCACTACAACACCTTCAAAACACTCTTCAATCCTTGATGATTTGCTTCCCTACCCATTGTTTTTATTTTTGTCCTAAAGAAAGGAACATCTAATATTCCAGATAAGATCCAAGGACACCACAGCAGGCAGCCGTACACAATTGATTTTCTTGCTTCCTTACATTCAGTGCTGCTCCACTGGCAGGTAATGATACAAGTTTAAAAACGTTCTTGGAACTAATCTTCAGACCTCTCTTACTTGAATAAATCCAAAACGCACTCTCGCTATTTTGTAAAGGCCCCTAGGAAGCAGAGACCCTGTGCTACCCCTTGAAGAAAGGTGACAGTGAACTGCGAACGTAGCATTGGACTGAAAGTCAAAGAATCCATCTCAGCTCCTTCTCCTTTCCTCTTGCATTCCCTGCTTACATTTCTAGCATGGCTCTGCCCTGAAACAGGCTTCTTTTTTTGTCACTTCTGCTCAGGGTTTTGAGGGCTATTTTAACACAGATTGTAATGTAAAGATGTAGGCTGCAAAGGAAGTTCTGAAAAATATTTAGTTCAGGACTAGTTGTGGAAGAAAATACAAAGTGAGCAAGAGATACAGATAACTAGGACACAACAAAAATGCTTCCACAAATGCAGGGTTGAAAAGTATCATGAAAAAAAAAATGTTTCAGGATTGTTGTGGATTTTTTTTCCTAATGGTCATAAAGCTCTGTAGAGTTTCAAGATAAACACATATCAAAGACTCTGTGTTTATCAGGTATGCATTTTTATTGACTTTGCTTGTGTTCCACCTTTCAAAGAGCAGAATTGGGAAATTTTTGTGATCACAGGACCAGCAAGTTATACACAGATACCACATGAGTATACAGATCTCACTTACAAACGTAGTATAGAATATATTAGCAGTGTGTGGCTGTCTTGCATCAAGATAAAGAGAGAGAGTAATGCTGCTGGGGAATTATGTGCCCAAAGCTCTGTGAAGCAAGAATTAAAATGAATGAGATTAAGGAGAAAATAACTACATCAGGAATATGTTAATAATTTAATTAAAGTCTACCAAAGTTGAACTATTCCACAATTAAGGTTGAAGCCCATCAACACGCTCTGTTCTACTTGGGGATTTTGCCACAGGTAAAATTACCCGTTTGGAAAGGTTTCTTAACGTATGAGGAAAATGGGCTCAGCTAAGAACGTGGTGTGACCATTAACTTGGACAATGGTGGACTTCGCTGTTTTCTCAGACAGGCTTTTACTGACGTTTTAATATGTTTTCTTTAATATAGTCTCATTTCTAGTGCATAAGATAAATGTGAATATTGATCCTTTTGAAAAACAGGAGGGCAAGATTTTGTGCTCTTTTTTTTTCCCTAGGCTTGTTTGCTATGGTTTCATCTTTATATAACGTTCAGGTCAAACAAACACGGAACAAAAAGGTTACTTCATAGCAGGGCAAGAAGCAACACAAAGGCCATTACTATGAAGGACTTAGCATCAAAGATTAGTCTGACACATTAACGAAATAGTTATATAGATCTTAACAGATCTTTTATACTATCCTTTTAAATTATCCTATAACATTTTATCCAATCCACAGAATGGTATAAAAAATAAGTACTGTGCTTTCTGGAGTAGCAGATATTGCTGACTGTACCAGGCAGAGTCAACATCTTTCCCATAAGGCGCCCTGTCTTCATACTGTTCATCTTGTAGGAGAATGTACAAAATACAGAAGATACCTCCTCATTAACTTCTGTGCCTGCCGCCTTTTACAAGACCACACGCAACTTTGCTTTCCATAAAACCAACTCAGTTTGATGTTCTAAAATGAGTGTACCTTCACTTTAAAGGCGCAGTACCATAAAATATGGGAAAACCTTCTTGTATCAGTAAGCTCACATAGTGAATAAGATCAGAACCTTCTTTTTCTCCAGCAACCGTTAAAACTGCGCATAGTGAAAAGACAATGCATTGTTTTCTGCTGAAAACAATGGAACACCACTTTTTTTCTTGCATTGTTTTTGGCGTGACACTTTCCTACTGAGTATAATGCATTTGTGGACTTGGAGCTTGGAAGCAGAAGGTGATTGCACTTATGTGATAGTATGTTCTACACCTGTAAATGGGTATACTTGAAATGTACACTTTTAAAGGTGAGAAGATATTGGGTTTGTAAATAGAACAGACAATATCCTGCACCGCAATAAAGAATTTCACATAGCATTATGGTGGTACTTCCCATAATTAAGCACAGCCTACTATACTATCTTGGCAAGTCCGGAAGTCTCCAGAAATAAAAAAAAAGGTTCCTAAATATTTCAATCTTTCATGCAGATGGAATCTGAGTAGATGACAGATATAAGACACTTCTATTCATCTTGTAGTAAGCAAATGCCTACAAAAGAAGCGACCATTAAAAGCTGCCAGTAATGGCGGGATACATTAACACTCTCAAGAAAAGAAATGGGCATGGGCATGTCATGAGCAGTTTGGTCTGGAATCCAGACTGGTATCTGTGGCTACTCTTCCCTTGGGCACAACTCACAACAAGAAAACTAGCGCTCCACTTGAACCGAAGGAGGCAGATAAAAGGGCAAGACCTTTACATTGAAGATCTTGGATTTTGTCCTTCCCGGTGACAAGTCTCTGTGCCCATGCATGAGATTTTTTTAGTCTCACTTCAAGCATTCCTCCCTCCCTACAGGTCAGAAATGAGGCGGGGCAGAGGCTTCACTGCATGACTGGTGTTCTTTACCTGCACTTACATAGGGAAATTCTGGTTTAAAACAGTCAATACAATCTCATGACAAGCACTGCATTCCTATGAGGGGGGAAAAGGAAAGACAAATGTTACTCCTATGCATGAATTCACCGCTTATCATTTCCCCTCCCTGCTCTACAGGGAGTTATTTGATTCATATTAGGGGTTATTTGGGTCACTTTTACCTTGAGAGAGAAAATAATGGTACCCTAATTTGAGATTTGTACCAATTTAAGTAAGGAAAATGGATTCTGAATATTTTGCATAGTTGCTAAATTTGACTGAGTGTTCAGTGAAGCGTGGGTTTCCAAATGTGAATAAGAGGCTTTAAAGCATTTTCCCCTATTTGTTTTTAAACTACATTTGTTACTTATGATTAGTAATTTTATATCGTTCATATGCAGTGTACTGAAACTGAATTCAATAAACTGACCTTCTTCCACCTATTAAACTGAACTTGTTATTTAATTGTTATGCATGCAAAGTCAAGCAGAAAAACTAAGGAGCATTCATGAATAGGATCATTGTGTTTTATTTGCAGTGAAGAGGAATATTTGTGTTCATGACTTTTCATAAGAAATTTATTACTGCTTATTTTGAATGGGAATAAATATAAAAATAGAACATCTGTATCAAAATTTAAAAAACCACAACAATCAAAAGCTGTTCAATCTCATCCATTTAGTTCGATTGCACAGTCTGTTCAGTGTAACTTTTTACAACATACCGTGCAAGAAAGCAGGTCATTTAAACTCAGTAATTAGTATTACAGATAAAATGACACTGCAGCAATGTTAATTACTATAGTACTGATGTAGTATAGGATATAATACATAATAGTCATGTCTTTAATTTTAAATTGAAGTGCAACAAAGCATATTATTGCTACACTTCCTCTTCTTAAAGAAAATGAATGTTACTCAAGTGTACCATTTGTACCCATGCAGAATGTTTTAAAATAAATCGCAATTCTACTTTAACTCAAACTGGCATATTTCACTTTCTAATGGCATAAATTAAGGAACCTCTTGCTATAGGAACATTTCCAATGACAATGGAAATTATGACAGAATTATATTCTGTCTGAAAAATTTCCACAATAATTTTTTTTCACTACAGCAGCTGTAAATCAGTTTGCAAATGAAGCACAACATTCAGTCTTTTTAAAGATGAATCTCGAAGAGCATTACAACTATTTGAGGTGTACTAGGCACTAGAGATATGTGATCAAATTGTAATTAACTGTGTACTGCGAAGGCTAAAATATCTGGTGATTGTAAACATAAAATATTCACAATGAAACAAAGAGACTTGCAGAGGAGGGCAATGAAAGTTTTTACCTGCAGCTCAGCAGGAGTAGGGCTCCCTGTTTATGAATAACTGTATCTCCGCTTTTTGCAGCACCTTTACTTTTGGACAACTTTGTTATAAATATTAAAAGAATGAAAAAATGAGTTAAATTTCAGATTTGTTCAAGTGCACTTAAATAATTTATGTCAGCTGAAATGTTCCCATTTTCAGTGCAGAAATTTTGTAATGAAGCCATTATTCAGACCTTGCATAAAAAATAATCTAAAAGCCTACTTATTTAGAAGTATAATAATCCTATTCACTGTGTTAACCATGTGCCCCTGGCTACAATATGCACATACGGATTTAGCAAAATATTTGAATATATAGTGTAAGATTCAAAGTAGAAGTTGAAGTATAACCTCAGGTTGTGCATTTCATCTCACAACAATGTATTGCTACATTTAAATGAAGGTGGTAAAGAGCAAAATTGAAGTACATATAACTAGTTTCTAGGATTAAAATAATTTTTGAAAAATATTTTTTTTTTTTCTTTTTACCTCCATTTTGTTTAGGTCAGTGGGACGATGTATAATACAGGGAGACATGTATCTCTACGACTAGACAAAGAGCATTTGGTCAACATCTCTGGAGGGCCGATGACATATAGCCACCGCTTAGAGGAAATCCGGTTACACTTTGGAAGTGAAGACAGCCAGGGATCAGAGCACCTACTCAACGGACAGGCTTTCTCTGGAGAGGTATGTCAACGTATTTGGAGTTAGAAATTAACTGGTATGAATTAACCACTTTCCATTGCAGCCTGAAGGTATTTGCAAACTAATTTGTACTGATAAAAATTGTTTCCCTTTATCCATTCTAAAAATCAGGGAATTACTTTTTTTTTTTTGCCTGTGCACTGCAAATCGTGAGACTCATATCTAAAAGTGAAACTGTTGTATTTATTGTATGCATAGACACCCTATATTTTCATATGCACTACTTACAAAGCAATCAAGTGTCTTTTGATGGGTCCTTTAGGTCCCTAGTAAATGCAAATACCCAATTAACCACGAAGTAATACTGGAAGTGCTTCAAGTTCTTATAAAAGTGCTACTTTTGCTACTCGCTGGTGTGTAACACTTTACATCAAGTATCATTCTGCCTTTGATTCATGTAAAAATAAGGTGATACTTAATTTTAGAGATGGTTCCAGAGAAGCCTGTGCTCAAGAAATAAAGTTAACTCCACAAGTAAACCCTGGCAGAATTGGTACTTGCTTTATATTTTAAACACGTGTCTGTAAGTGTCGTGATTTAATGATCCTGATAGCTATTGCAGGATAGCCCATTACTCTTGATGGATAAATATTTTAGTCTTGTATATGGAGTTCTTTTTCAAGATGTACAGTAAAGTTTGCAGACTTTCTGGTAGACAAAGCAGAATCTTCCCATCCTTCTTATATAGGAGCATTTTTACATTGAAGAAATGCACAGGTTTTGTAGTACCCCATCCTTCATCAGCTTGTGCCACGTCTGTGAACTACCTAGCATGCAACTCTACTCCACAAATCTTAACAAATAAAATAATGCTTCAGAATGACCGTGTATTACTATAGGGATTATTTTTAAAGATACTCAAGGTATCTATCCCTTTGCCGTTCTTTCAGAAGACAAAAATGAATAGTTTTCCATAATAAAGCACTTATTTTCTTGGAGATGAATAATCAAATTACCATCTGTCCTATCTACCACAGAGACTGGTGATGAGTCAGTTAAGGCGTGGCATTTTCTTTGGCAGTGTGCAACAGCAGTTATTTAAGAGTAGGAAATTAATTGCAGAGTTGTCAAATGATGGTATTATAATTGATGGTAATAATTTCCTTTGTTTTATAAGCTACATGGATGTATAACATAGCCAGGGGCAGCTTTTTTATGAAATTATTAATGTCTTACACAACTGACTTCTGGTTGCCTTTGATAAGTTCTATGATAAGTGAACATATAACATATTACTCCTTTAGAGCTGAAAGTTAAGTATGTGGTAGTAAATAAGGTCTTTGCTTTGCTAATCAGATTTACAGAAGAGCAATACTCAAACGATGGCAGGTTGACTGAATGAGAAGGCAAAAATCTGGTTGACACATACCACTGCACTTGATGTGATGTATTGGCATAATTTTAGATATTTTTAGTAGAGTTTTTAAGTTAGAAAATCATCAGTCATAGACTGTAACAAAAGGTAAAAACGTAAAGTGTTGTTTTGCAATGCTTGATGTTAATACTTAACTAAGCTCTTCTAGTTTTGAAAGTAGGAGTTCTGAAGTACTATTAACGCTTGATATTATTTGCTAACAGAGACCTCAAGTATTTCTTAATAAAAGCAGAAAAGCTAGCTAAGTGGAAACCGCTGTCAGTCAGTCAGACTTGCACAGCTGGATCCACAGTATATGCAGGACTCATCTAGTTATCTGAATTCCTCCTGCAGTGAATAGAAAGAGATAAGCATCTTCAGCGGATGATCATTCCTGATATGGTCTCTTAAGACAGGACAAATCACTCTGTGAAGCCACATCTCCCTTGACAACAGAGCAGAGACAAACAACAGGCCAAGTAGCTGAGACTAGACACCTCCTTTTCAGATGGCGAGATGAATTCTGTCCTTTGAGGATGTGTTTTTCAAAGTTTCAGATAGTTATTTTGGGCAGCTAGACAGGAAAGTTCCAATAAGGTCAAGTATTAATTACTAATCTGAGCTTGCACCTCCACAGTTAACTCTTACTTCCAGACCACATTTTGTTTCCCAAGTAAAGCACAGATTCAAATCAACCTATTCAATCAGCTGAATAGCATGGGTGCAAATTTTCAGTGAAGGACAGCAGCTGACAGTGTTCTTAGAATATACATCCACCCATACAAGTGCTGTCCATATAAATAAGTGATAAACTCTCAGCACTGGAAGATGTAATGTCTACAGTGCCCAGCAACTGCAGTAAGGAAACTGTAGACAAGGCAGCCGACTTTATGAGAGAGTACATGTCCTTATAATGTAACGTATGCTTTCAAGACTGTTGCTGCTAATTACTATCACTTCTGGATAATGCTGTCAGAGGAGACGGGATAAAGAAAAATAATTGCATAAGTGCATTAGTTTAATTTAGCTAGTGCAGGTAAGAATAGCAATGAATATTTGCTGGCTTAGTCTTTAGCAGGTGCAGGCAACCAGAGAAAAATCATTGCAGGATTACACTGTTTGACCATGTCAACCCACTGTCCTGGTTTCAGCTGGGATAGAGTTAATTTTCTTCCTAGTAGCTGGCATAGCGCTGTGTTTTGGATTTAGTATGAGAATAATGCTGATAACACACTGATGGTTTAGTTGTTGCTAAGTAGTGCTTACACCAAGTCAAGGACTTTTCAGCTTCCCATGCCCTGCCAGGGGCACAAGAAGCTGGGAGGGGGCACAGCCAGGACAGCTGACCCCAACTGGCCCAAGAGCTGTTCCATACCATAGGGCATCGTGCTCAGTTTATAAACTGGGGGGAGTTGGCCAGGGGCAGCAATCGCTGCTCGGGAACTGGCAGGGCATCAGTCAGCAGGGGGTGAGCAATTGCATTGTGCATCACTTGGTCTGTATATTCTTTTATAGTTATTATTTTCCCTTCCCTTTCTGTCCTATTAAACTGTCTTTATCTCAATCCATGGATTTCACTTCCCCCACCCCCCGATTCTCTCCCCCATCTCACCGGCGGGGGGGAGTGAGCCAGCGGCTGTGGGGCGTTCAGCTGCCTGCTGGGTTAAACCACAACAACTGCTAATTGCATGCTAGCTCCCATGGCACCGCCTTGTTACTGCTGTTCTTACTTGTGTTGGACAAACCCAATATGGGTTTTATCGAAACCTCTGTTTCGCTGTGGAAACAGTTCCCAAGGATGAAGTTACCCAAGCAGTGTGATCTGTCCCAGTAGATCACAATCAGCTCATTCCTTTTCACTGACGTCTGCGATGGACATTGAAGTCAGCACATTGCAGAGAGAGAAGGGGAACCTGGGGAGGGGTCAGGGGAGGGGGCAGGTCCTCTCCCTCACAGCACTGGCAAACTATTAGATGGGCTCAGACCTAAATTAAATCTGAGTGCAGACAAGGCAGAAGCTTTTAAACAGCCCCAATGTATCTTGAAGCAGCTGCAACATTCTTTACACATCTGGAAATCCCATCTAATACCCACACTAAGCAAGAAGTTTGTTCTTAGGGACTTTTTTTGCCTAGTGAAGACGTCATGCAAGCAGGCCTGCAGAGCAAGCTAGAGAACACTGGAGTGGTACCATAGCATGAAAAACATTCTAGAAACAGCAAATTGCTTCAAAATATACTGCGGTCTGAATGATACAGAGAGGCTTGTAATTCCCAGGCTTTAACATTTAACTAGGTGTGTTAGAGGCTGTCAAGAGAGATCTCTACAATAATCTGGTTGCCTTTTAGCTCCCAATTATCACTTTAGTAGGCAGAATAACTGAACTAATGCTTAAATAGTTTGAGTGTAAGGGCTTTAAAACTGTGTATCAGATTATCATCAATATGTTTGGTACTGCTAATGTGAAAAAGAAAGGCAGGCTTTGGAATGCTTAAATAAAGAAATGAAGCATTTACTTGTATGTCTGGTACATACTTGAGTGTTTTTCATTCCCTGCTCTTTGCACAAGCATCCTACTGTATTACAATGATTAAAAGAAAATCTTGGCTCAAGCAAAGTCCCCAACTAAGACACCAGTCATTTATGTCTGCTGCCTGATGGCTCTATACAGAACAGTTTTTAATGCTACAGAGTCCATATCATTTAATGAGAAAGACTATCTTCCTTTCAGACAGCAGCAGTACAAAATACAGCAGAATTTACCAGAGCGCTGTTGTTCAGGCACTGTCTACCTTGTTAAAATAAAAAGGTAACAATCTGCAAAAGGTTCATGGTGAAAATGGGACCCTTTAACTTTACCATGTGGCAAAGTCATAAAAGCCCATACCAATTTCTTTTCTTAAGCAGAAAAATGAAAAATGTGCTGCAGGAGACCTCCAACCACTTTATGGCTGGGCACTGTAGCAGCCTTATCTATGGAAAGGCAGAAAGTCAAGGAGCTTAATTATTTGGTGTTATGCACTTTTCAGAAACTCAATAGCTGGAGACTCTCAGAGAGACCATAGTCCACAGCACATGAAAAAAATAGATTTCTTCTTCTCTGACCACCAAGTCACCCTTTGAAAACCCATTGACAGAGATTATAAACACACAATGATTTCATCCGCTACTTAAGAAGTAAAATGAAAGCCAGAATACTGTCTAGGTAAATGAATACATATTGCAAGCTACACACAGTTTGGAACTGAGATTTACTTTTGCTGCTGCTAAAAGCCACTAAGAAAACTGAATAAAATACAAGAAAATGGGAATCAAAGGGGGAGGCTAGAAATTCTGAAATACCAGCCTTCTCCTGCTACTGCAATTTCTTTAGCTGCAGGCATATCCTATGTGAGTGGGGAACTTCTAGTGATAGCAAAGGATTACTTATCAGAGAGATCAGTGTTGCAAATCCAACTTCTGATATTTTTAGAAGCAGGACTGTCAGACAGACAGCCTATGAGAAGCATCCGGCCAGCTGGAATCATTTAATCCAGCCTGCTGCAGAATTAGAGTAGTCCAAATCGTTAAAGTTGCGCCTCCCACGTGGCATTTGGCTCAGGACGCTGCCTCCTTTTCTAACCTATGG